CATTTATTCAGAGGGCTGAGAGGGGATACGAACGAAATTCCCAAACCCACAATATAATATACTTAATTCTTCCACTCGAAGTGTACACTCGATATAATACCAGCATGACAAAATAATCAAGAATGCTTTAATTTGTGTCGTATTTGCATCCAAGCAAAAGGTGGACTCTCTCTTTATGCCTACTAAAGAGGCTTATCATAAAACATTGTACTAAACGAATGCTACACTCTGATATCAATAGCATTACCCAAAGATGTTTGTATTGGATACGATATGATATAATATCAGATAACGTAATACAATATGATATACTTGTAATACAATATCATTTCATATCATATTGTATCATATCATTATATCATATCATATTTTAAGGTTTACCTTAAGATTTTTTTTTCGAGGCCGACATCCTTGTCAAGTTTTGCTTATGATTGCGGTCTCCTGCACTTTTCCAACAGAATAGTTCGGATAATACTTTAAATTTATGATAATATGTTATGGAAATATTAAGTTTCGTTATTATATGTACATATATTATGTTTAAAAAAAAACATTTTGACATGAAGAAATTATTGTTTGTTTATGTTGTATTATACCTTACATTTATATGTTCTTTGTTATTCAGTTGTATTTTATTTGGAAAAAATGCAGAAATAAAAATCAAATCAAAATATTATACAAAAAGATTCGAACTGCTGTATGGATGTGAGGTGCATGATTTGATTATGTCTATTATAATTATATAGGTGTTGTATGGAGCATGATAATTGCTACCAGACTGTAGAAGATGATCATTGTGGACTATACTTCTCTTCGTATCAGTATACGAAACAAGGCTGTGCATCAGGAAATGGCAACATTGTCTGTGGTACGTAAAATCCTCTTCCATCCAGTTTATCTTAGTTATAATCTGTTTCCTCTCATTCAAACTTTTCTCTTTACCCATCTCTACTTGCTCCTCTACTTTACCCGTCTGTTCCTTCTCTCCATTCCTCCCTTAAAGAGAAGGTTGAGTTCTGGGAAGAGGTGAAAAATAATTTGTGAGCATTACTCATTCTTATTATGCAAGTGTGGAAGAACATCAGTTAAGACATGTTCCCTGAAAAACATGGCTCTTCAAATGCCTTCATATTCTAAATATGCATGTAACATCGTAAAAATCGGGGGCCGGCTTTTTACGCCACGTGTTCGTGTAGTCCCATATACATCTTTCTGTGCAAATGTTTGTAACTTTACCAAGACTTGGCCACATTTCTTATCATTTTGATGATTCCAGAACCTTGCAATACACACAAATTCTTATATGCTAGATGATCAACCTTTTCTGGTCGGTTCCACACCGTTTCTTTCACAATGCAATCGCATGACCAGAACTCAACTTCATCTTTAAAGATAAACTTGAGTTCTGGTAAAAATTAAAGAAAATGAATTCTCACAGAATCAAACGAAACTTACACTGAATATTCAAGATTACATGTGCCAAACAATTTTGGAAGAAAATGTATACTGGCGGAGTAATGAGCATAGAAAGATAAGGATATCAAGGTATAGCCCCGACACCATTTGTGTAGTCCATCGCAACAAACTGGCTCTAAAATTCATCACCTGTTAACAAAAATAAATTGTGATAATATTGTCAAAACTCGCTTCGCATCTCTCTCGCTCGGAAAAAAGGGAATAAAATCTCATTTTAGAGACGCGTCAGTACGTTTGATGATATTCCGCTATTTTGTATCGACGACCCTAACAATGGTAGGTAGTGAGAGGGGTGTGGGACTAACAATTAGTCCCAGAGATTTAAGATTATCGGCAAGGCATTTAATATATGCCGTAAAGTCATTCATAATGTTCTCTTGCAGAACTTTATAATGAGGTGGAGATAGGTTTAGTGGCGAGAATTATCACTACATATATAGCAAAATAGCATTTAACTGAAATATTACAATTTATTTTTTTGTTTGATGGCCAGCTGGATCATTGAGTGACCCATCTACCGAGTGTGCCTTCAGACTGTGTGAGTGTGATCGTCTCCTGGCTTCATGTCTGCGTCGTAACAGAGACTCCTATAATACTGTCTTTGCTAACTTTGAGAAGAGGTTTTGCGATGCCCGCCTCGCCCAGGCTGTCGTCAGCTACCACGTCGATACGTCTTCGAATTCATCGACCGCAGTGGTAGGCGGCGACGAGAGAGGCGCTTATCAACAGGTAGCACAGAGACCTTAAATTATCATGCTAATTAGTGGTCTGTGTAGAGAGAAATCTTGGTCTCAAAAAATGCTTATTTGGAGCTCTAGTTGAATAAAGACAACAACCTACTCATCTCACCTGAAAGAGAGCTTTTTGCAAAAAACAATTTTACGTTTAAATTAGTCAAAAATTAAAACAAAAGAAAACCGGACAAAAAATAACACATTTTTGCGTAAACTTCGTTTGCATTGCATAAAGAGTAGCGACTTTCATGCATGGGAAGTAATGAAAGTCTCATTATAGATGATAATACAAGACGTGAAGAACGGATTGTTTGCTTTTCTTTTTAAACCGTCTCCCACCTATGCCAATGTTCAGGCTTTTATACATCAAGCATACACATGCTTTCTTAGCAGTCAGGTATAATGGTCATCAATCATCAAAGATGTAATCAATTCTCTATTGTATGCTTTTCATTGTATAGTATGGATAGGGCTCCAACATACCATGAGCTTGTAAATGGTGTACATAATTTGAATTAGCGAAGTCAACTAACCGGGGGAGGGGGGGGGGCAGGGGACAATAACGTCCATTAGTATGTCCAGAGATTTCACTTTTCGTTTTGCATGTAAATAATGTAAATAGATTTAGCGTATATAACAAACCAAAGGGGGCAGGGGATAAGACCACCTATGTATTCAGAGATGTTGTCATTCCCAACTCAATAAGAAAAAGCTGGCTATATATTCATTAATGCAGTTAGTAACAAACTAATATCATGTGGATACACAACATGAGTTCAACGACATATAATATAAGATTATTATCCTAAACACGAACTTACGGCTGACGTTATAAAACAATTATTAGGTAATCTGATAGTACATATCGAGGTACTATTAATATTCAATCCCAGGGTGAAAATATGATGCTTTATGTCGAGAAAAAAAAAGAACGACAATTGCCAGCATGTCGGACACTTGCCATCGTTTGTATATCATATTCTGTAACTCATGTGAAAGTATTACATCTTATTCCATTGTATTATAGCTCATAATAAGCAGTAATTACGATATTGACAGATGACTGCAAATATTATAATGAATGTTACATCTGGTGCATAGTCTTTCTCTTGGCAACAAAAATCTACTTTGATTGATAAAAGTTTTTAGATTTTTAGATTTCGAGTTTTTAATTAAATAACGTAATTTGGGAATCTGTGAAAATCTTTTCAAACAAATACACACCCCGTGATAAAAATAAACTGTTTGTCGGCTGATTTCAAATATGTGTTGTGTCCAAAGTAACCTGTAGAGAATTTTCTGTAGAAGTTGTCGAATTTGAAGAGAGAGAGAGAGAGAGAGGGGATAGAGAGAAAGAGGAAGAGAGGGGGAGAGTTAGAGAGAGATTGTGTGCGTGTCATGTGTGTTTGCATAATGCGGAGAAATAGAGTGCCTGAGAAAGAGAGATTGAAGAAGGGAAGGGTGCGTATGATTGTGTGTGATAGAGAGAGAGGAAGAGAGGGAGAGAGAAAGAGAGAATAAACAAAAGAGAGGGATCGAGACAAAATTTATAAAAAATAGAAAGAGAGTCTGAGGAAACTATACTACTCTTCTGGCAGCTGTTTAATGTGGCAATATGCTATACGCATGCGCCATTGTGCTTTCCATTGTTACGTACCCATACGTCATAATGTTATCTATGCACCAATTTATCGCATGCACTTGGTGTTGCCGGTCTTCTTTCTTTATCGAAATGTTTTTTATAGTCTCGGGTATACTTGGCAAACTTTATAAACATTAAAACAAAATTGAAAAACACCCTCTATTATTATTATTCTGATAGGCCATTAAAAAAATAAACATTTAGCGTCCCCGCCCGCTTCCTTTTTGGGGGCCGCCCCCCATTTAAAAAAAAAAAAAAAAAAAAAATTTGGATTTCTTATTTTAATAGAAAAAAGAAACATGAAAAACACTGCTAAAATGGATCTATTTCTGATTAAAAAAAAACAAAAAAAACAAAAAAAATGTCGGCGGTCATCCTAAAAAATAGCCCGACTGACAGGGAAAATGTACCGAGCGGGCATTTCGAGCGGCCATTTTGAAAGAAAAAAAAGAAAAAAAGAAAGAAAGGGGCCTCCTCCTCCTTCCTATTTTTCCAAAAAACAGGACGCTAAACATGTTGTTTTTCTATTTGGCCATACTTGAATTCAGCTTAGAACCAGCTATTCTGTCATGTTGTATTTCCACTTCCAATAAACACAGGGATACGGTCTAAATGATGTTGTTATTATTTATTGTACAAGTATTATTATTATTAATTCGGCAAAGACAAAGAAAATCAGTGAATACATAACAAGAATACATTTTGAAGAGAGTCACATGGATACCGGGAAAAGAGAAAGATTAACTTAATAACTTTAAACCGTAGGTCTTCTTTTCCAATCCATGTGACTTTACAGAAATGGTAAGAATAAAATGGTGAGGTATAACAATTTTTTAATCACTGTGCGATCAACAATAAGCATTGACTAAAGATTAAAAAAACAACAACAACATAGAAATACTTTTAAAAAAAACTTAAAACCTCCTCACCACCCCCCCCCCCCCCCAACCACCAAAAAAAGAAAGGGGAAATGCCGCTTTGTGATGCATCCAATTCGGCTGCGACGTAGACTAGCACAGTGGGCGGATCTTGCCAAAGTGCGCATTCATTCATATGCAAATGAGCACTATGGCAACCGTAGCAAGCTTGACCCCAAGTTTGTAAACATGTGGATCATCGCTACCAAATCCACCTGTTCGATCGCGTACTTCATAATATGCTCAGTCCCCGCGATCGGTATATATATATATATATATATTTGAAATAATACTTTAGAATTGAAATGGGACGTTTTATATGAAAGCATATTCAAAGATTTAATCGTGTGCAGTATCATCACAAAGGCTCGACATTTGGTGTGGTTTTGTCTTTTTTAACTGAGTAAGGTGAGGATATGTCTGCTTCCGTGAAGTCCTTCCAAGGCGCGCCTTTCGGCACACAGAAAGCCAGGTAAGAACTATATACACTTATGATTTAATTTCCCCCAGGCTTCATGCATCTAGATAGACGTGTACATTTTAAGATGAAAAGGAAAAGTTTAGGTCTATAATGTTCATTTACTGGGTGATCATTGAGAGAAACATCCCTGAGCATTTTACGCCTTTTGAATTTTGTCTTTTTTTTTATTTTGGTCTCGGCAAATATAATTTTTTAAATATATTTTAAATTAAAAAAAAAAAAAAAAAAATTATAATAGAACTGGATATCCATTTTTGGTCTCGCAACTCTCCAATATCAAATCTACAGATGCTTATTGTGACGAAAGTATTTTCTTAAATTATGCTTCAAGAGGGTTTCTGTCCTACAATTTACATCTTCATTTTATTCATGGTTCTATATATAGGAGGGTTAATTTTCTCAAAAGGGGTTTAAAGAATCGATGATGGGGTCATTTATTAATGAGACCTTAAGCAATCTTAATTCACACCCCTTATTCTTAATGAAAGCCAGCCATACGAGAGTATTATTGATTTGATTTATTCCAATAGAGATAACAACCTTATGAAAGGTACATAATAAAAGGAATTATGACTTTATCTTGGTTCTTGGTTGGTTGGTCCTCCAAAATACTCGAGTTTTAACTGGACGAGTATTTTGGAGGACCAACCAACCAAGAACCAAGATAAAGTCATAATTCCTTTTATTATATTCCTTTCATAAGGTTGTTATCTCTATATATTAAAAGGAATTGTGACTTTATGTTTGATTTTTGTAATATTTTTGTTCTAGGTTTGATGTATCTGGCGTACATCCACAGAGTAAAATGCCTGGTACCTACACACAGGTCTGGTATGATAAGAAGTCTATGCACAATCTGGTAAGTTTTATTCATTGACTCATTTCTCTACGATAAATAATTTAAATGACATAAACAGTCGTGTTTGTCAACTCAAGGTTTGATCATATCAATACCAATAATACGTTTTCTTCAATTAGCTTTGAAAGTGAAAATAGATCCAAAAAGTGTGGTTCTTTGGCAAGATAAATCCGTTTCAAATTTTCTCCTATGAATATACATTCATTCATGCAATTTCCTCATTTGAGTCGATAAGTTGATTATATTTAATCAATGAACAAATTTAATAACTATTTCAACCATTTTTAATAGTAGCACATCAGTTTAAGAAAGATGTTTCCTTCCATTTTGCAGTTTTACTTCAGTTTGCCTTAACCAAACTTAAATTTGTTTTTCCTATGATTTCAGAAAAGGAAGTTAGGTCCCGGAGTGTATGCAGTAGAAGTAGGAAGTTTTAATGCCAACGAGGTAGCAAGGAAAGCATCAGGTCCAGGATGGTCTAGAGCATATGAGACTGCTCGTATGGCAGCATTACCTCATCTACTTCACAAAGAACAGTGGGAAAAGAAACGTAGCATTGTAAGTCATAGGATTAATTGCTCTCTCTCTCTCTCTCTGTATCTCTCTTTCTCTCTATATATCCCTTCCTCCCTCCCTCCTCTCTCTCTCCCTACCTTCCTCCCTCTTACAAACCATAAGACACACATCATGTATGGTTTAATCACACACGCTTTTCAGCAGGAGATCTTTCACAATACTGCAGTGAGATTGTATAGCATCTCAATAAAACTTATGCATACATTAGAGCTGAGCTAAAATACTATCTGATTCAGCAGAACCGGGAATAACAATTATGCACGTTCAACTTCTCTCCCAGAATGTGATAGGAGGCCAGAATACTTAGGAATGGTTTATCCAAACTTCTTAGCAGTTGATTAGAAATGGATAGAAATTAATTAACCTGTTTAAAGCCACAAGATCATTAACCCATATACTGAAAAGCAGAGTTAATCATATTGTGTCCCAACAGACATTGTATTATAGTACGTGTACTAATCAAGTTTAATTAATCATATTTACAGACAAGGAATCTAGGCCCTGGATCTTACGACATCAAGGACTTCCTTCATACTATGTCTGATAAACCAGGTAGTACAAGAGGTATATGTCAGACTAAAGCAAGGAGATTTAAACAAAAAATAACGGTAAGAATCAAAACATAGGTCCAGTTGCATAAAAATTACCACTGATGGTGCATTTGCCATCAATATTATCACCATGGCAACATCATTCAATAGCCAATGATATCAAGGTTTCTTTGGAAGTTACAATTAATGGCCCAGTTACCATTAATGATAATGATAAGTTTTATGCAGCGGAGCACAACTTGGTATAAAGCCAGAAATGTAATATGTGAAGAGATGTAAATATGTTTTATGTGAAAGCGCAGAACAAGACTTGCCAAGACTGAACAAGCCATCTACTTAGAAAAAGTTTGGTTTCATGTAGCGTCATGATTTTTGTAGTTCTCTATTACCTAGATGGGGAACCGGGAAATACAGGTTATTACTGTAGAATGCTGTTTTTTTCTCTCGAAATTTCATGTATATTTTACCTGTTTTGGGGGGGTTGTCTTCATCATATTCCTAACACTGGATAAGGTATTTCATAATAACCTAAGATGTTCAAGCAATATTCTTGATCTTTCATACACGTAGGTGATTCTATATGTAAGTACAAATAACATGACTTGGCAAATTGAAATTGTATTTCATTTTGCTACATTTGCTTGTTGAAATACTATTTGTTCTTAATCACTTTAAGATTTAAATATATTTTTGATTTTCACCATTAAGGCATGATAACAATAATGACCCATCACATACATCTGTATGACGTTTGTCTGCATGCATGTACTATAACGACTATGTATTATATATGGTCTAATTGTAGACGGAAGTACCTGGGCCTGGCACATATGGAGAAGGTGGCATACCTCATGCAGCCATCGAGGCCAAGTCTAAAATTTCAGCTAGTACTGTAGGTCTTCTAGATGCTGGTTCTTCTACTCCGAGAAATCTACCTACAGTGGTATGTATATATCTGTCATTTACCTACAATAATATGATATATTAAAATTCACTACATTTATTAGTCAAGTCCCAAATATTTACATTGCAACTTCCCTAATATGATATATGAAATAAGAAACAATATGTTAGCAAGTATCTTATTGGCTGATAAGGTGTCATATGACACTCGACAATTCGTTATATGTTCATGAGTGTACAAACATCCTTTTGCACTGTATAATGCGTACTGAAGTGAATTAGACTGCGCACCTCTCATTCATGTGTTAATAAAATATAGACATTTATGATCCTATCCTAAAATATTTACTTGAAAAGCCTGGCATGATTTTTTTTCTGAACTGATTCTTTGTTTCCTACCTGAACAGGGTTGTGAGCTTGGACCGGGTACATATAGTAACAAGAGCTTTACTGAGGAGCTGACCAGTAAGGTCACAAGCAACAGAGGGCCGTACGACCTCTTCACCGGAGAGAGAAATGCACCTATCAAAACAGGACATCTTGCCAAAGCTGTAAGTACCTTTATCTGCATCATTATCGAGAAACGTATTCATGGAAAGGGGAAGTTGACTATGTGTGAACTATCTTTAAAAACCCATCAATTACTGCTCAAAAAAGCACTCTAAATTATTTCTTCTAATATATCTTACAATATGAGGTTTTGATTGGTAAATTTGTCTGAGAGAACAAGCAAAGAAAAATAGTAGATTACTTCAAAAATCAAACTACAGTACATTTCACAAAACTGGAGGGAAAAGAATGAGCACAGCCCGATTGATGTTTGTGTCTGTATTTTATGTGTTCAAAGTACAAATACATTTCGACATGTTAATGCTCTTTTTATAAAAAAATCACAGGATGTTGTTGATGAAAGTAGCAATTGAGTGCCAGAGAAAGAGAGATGAAAGAGTAATGTGCAGACAGTCATATCTTGTCTTTCTGCAAATATGACAAGAACATGACTAAACAATATGATGGCAAAAACCTAGGTAGTGTGAAATAGAGAAGGGAGCAATTAAAGAGAACAGGGATGCCAGTTAGAATTGATCAGAGGGCCTAAAAATCACCTAGAATGAGCTATTTTGTACACAAAAAAGCCTAAACTATGGTCTGAAAATAACTTGCCAGGGCCTGAAAACTGGCATCCTTGAGAGAATCATCAAATATTGAGATATTGATTTTTGAATGAATCTGAAGAGAGTATAATTGTCGGCTGCAAGAAGGCAATTACTCCCATGGACAATACATGGCTCTTACAGTGTACAACCTACTTGTTGGCAGCTGATGACATACAGTAATAACAATTCTCATTGAATCTGACATGAAACATACGGTGAGAGATTGACTGATTTATAATCGTTGTTGTTACTGTTATAATTCTCATTGAAACTGACATGGAACATATAGTGAGAGATTGATTGATTTATAATCGTTGTTGTTATTGTTATAATTCTCATTGAAACTGACATGGAACATATAGTGAGAGATTGATTGATTTATAATCGTTGTTGTTATTGTTATAATTCTCATTGAAACTGACATGGAACATATAGTGAGAGATTGACTGATTTATAATCGTTGTTGTTATTGTTATAATTCTCATTGAAACTGACATGGAACATATAGTGAGAGATTGATTGATTTATAATCGTTGTTGTTACTGTTATGATTTTTATTTTAGGGTCACCATCTTCTTGGGCCTGGTCAGTACCAGCTGAATTCCTTCTCTGATAAATGGCAAGATGAACATAATTCATGGAAGGGCAAACTAAGCAAGATATCTCAATACCCGGAAAGACCGTCTGAACGCGTTTACTGCTCTACACTCAGCCAATGGCCAAGGAAAGGGGTGAGTTCAGACCGTCATTAAATCATGTTTGATTCTATCCACATATAATGTGTTAGGGAACTGAAGAGAAAAACAATCATACTCCTATCTTCAATTTGTAATACCTTTGTTGTCATATTAAAACCAGTGCCTTCATGACTTTGGATTCCATCAGATAATGTACATGTATATTCAACTTCATGTATGTTGCAGTAAAACCATTGACGGTTTGCAAGCAGAAATTTACAATACAAAAAATGATTACAAGTACTGTATCACCATAAAAAAAAAGATAAATGCATAAATTGACTGCAGAATTAAGTAGCAAGTCCCTATATTATACTAAGATTTCAAGTCACTCATCTTGTTGACATAACTTGCTGAGTCCTAGGACATAGGCTCAAATTGGAATATAGAAGTGAAATGCTGATGACACCCTGTAGATTCCAATCTGAGGGTACACATTGCACATGTCAATGATGACTCTATTCCTAATTTTGATATTAAACATGCATTTCTTTTGTAGCTAACAATCTAATAGAATTTATATTCAAAGCCAACATTTTATCTACTTTGAGCCATAAGGGTGTAGGTGATATCATCTGTTGGGTACGAGCCAGGAGGGTATTAACCTTGTCTTAAAACATTAGATCATTTATGATTTAACGCCCTTCTGTCTCACAGACAATGTACAGTGTATGATGTCTGCTGAATAATAGCTTAAAACCATTCAGGCTTTAAAACTAGGCCTTACAAAAAAGATGTTGTATTGCCCTTTGCGACCGACCAGAAAATCTTGAAATCTACGGTCAGCTTTTTAAAGCCTTTTTTTTTTTTTACCGTTTTTTTAGAGAAATAAAATATTAAAGCATTCAAAACTGAGAAATATCAGCCAAAAGAGGGAGAGAAAAAAAAAAGAAAAGATTTCTGACGGACCGACCCATGTTTTGGAAGTGCAATACGAATCCAATAAGAATCCAATATTATTATTATTATTAATACAACATCTTTCTTTTTTTAGGCACTATAGTAAGATGATGATGAATGAGTGCCCTGAGCAAATTACGTTATAGGAATGTTTATTAATACATTTATTGTATATTTTCTACAGGCTGATCCTGCCCCTGGTAACTACACACCTAGAGAACTATCTAAACCTCAGGGTAAAAATCTACCACCTTTCATATCATCAGCTGAACGATTTGATAAACGAGCGAGGAAGTTCTTCACGGGACAAACGGTAAGATCATCTCTTTATTATGATGCACATTTGTTTTTGTTCTTATCTAGCAGAGTTACTTCAAAGTATGTTGGTATATGGTACCTTGTCTTGTTACCTTTTGCTAAATGTTCCATAAATAGCTGATGGTAGATAACAAAGATAAATTTTAAGCTGTCATAACAAGAAAATAAAATTCAATATAAATCTTTATCAAATAAGAAAATTAAACTAACAACACCCCCTCCAAAGTAAAACAAAATATAAACAAACAAAAGGGGGGAGCATGGTATTGGTTCATTGAATGACAACAAATTTTATCAGATCTATTCAAGTGTATTAATTATCATTTATAATGATTGTTTTCACATCCAATTGTAGAACCCTGTTGGTCCTATTCAAGATCTATTCAAGTTTATTGATTATCATTTATAATGATTGTTTTCACATCCAATTGTAGAACCCTGTTGGCCCTGGACGATACAATGTTCAGCATTGGCATGAAGCCCAGCACCAGAACGGTCATGATAGTGTCTTCAACTCTAAGGTCAAGAGAGAAAGGACGAGCAGGGATAACATGATGCAGTAAGTTTGAAGTAGTCTATTTGTAATTAAAGGTAAAGACCAGTTTTGGAAACGCCCCCCTCTCAACAAATTGAATGGAAGCTCTTATCACCAATCATGTGGAAGAATATGTTTCAACTAATACGTGATGATACAAATTTTGCCGGGAAACCGCCTAATAATTGATATATTGGGTAAATTGTTATATCTATCCGGACTGGATAGATATAGGGTAGTCACATATACATCTTTCTGTGTACAGTGCTTGTAACTTTACCAAGACTGGGACAAATTTCTTATCATTTTGATGATTCCAGAACCTTGCAGTACACACCGATACTTATATGCTAGATGATCAACCTTTTCTGATCGATTCCACAATGTTTCTTTCACGATGCAATCGCATGACTAGAACTGGTCTTTACCTTTAAAACTGGCTTTACGAAATTTGCAGGACAATGCTGCACATTTAGTTTGTCCTATATGTGCCTATAACGCAGAATAAAATTAAGTGCAGAACAAGATCTTTAGCACAAGTCAAACCTCTCAACACAAAGTGCAGTATACCCTTATTTAACAAAAAAGATTCATCATTGATATTTTGGGTCAGCTCATGCAGTACCTTTCATGCAAAACTTTTATTTATGTTCATTGTTAAACCTTATTGATAAAGATGGAATAACAAAATGAAGGTTTCACAATTTCCCCAAACATGTGGAGCAATGCGGGTAGCACTTTGTAACTGCAAGGAAAAAATGCTTTATCAAATACTTATTGGATTGCGCAAGTGACAAATTCCTCGAAGCCTCCTCCTAAAAATCATATATGTAAAATCACTGTTCTATTTTTCTCTCTGCTGTGAAGTCATAATATATATATTATGGTTTGGTATTTGAATTGTTTCTCAATTTTGTTTCTTTTTGTTTCTTTTTCTCCATAGGGAGAGAATACAAGGAGTGAACACAGTTGAGATGAAAAGTCAAAGTCAGAGTGCAGACTATGTCAGAGCAAGAAGAACCATCTATGCACAGCAAACGTAGAACCAAACATATGTATGTAGTTTTAAACTAGAGTAAAATGAAATAAAAGTGGAACAGGTAGACATTTGTTAGCTGGTGTATTTTTGTTTGTTTAATGCGATGTACGTGTACAGGACAGATAACCCATGCAATGTTACTATACTGCTTCTTTCACAAGGATAGACACACTTCCATATACCACTGCTTCGTGTATTTGATAAAATGGATTTTGTTTGTCAATCCATCGTATTTATGTGGATATAGGCGAATAAAGAATTATATGTACAGTACTTCCAGTCTACATAATACCACAATTGTCTTCTGTACATAAATGTACCTACCTGCCACATGGTGAAAAGATAAAATGGTAGAATTATTTTTCAAAATTCTATATTATGATTGTCATGGTATATTTGTGTGTGATTTTGCAAAGAATATAGTTTATAACAACTGTACCTTGCCATATGAATGCATTTACTAAAATCATGTATATTGGTTGAATTGCTGACAGTGTTGATAACTGTATTGCTTTCATGATGAAACTTGCTTTCAAAAACAACTTTAAATTCTTGTTGGGGTGATAATGTTGATTCAGTGTCTGCTCCGACTACTATGTAGTTTGTTACGAGGCACTTTGGGAAAAGTGTTCATGAATTTGGATTTATTTTGAAATTAATTTATTGCATTCCCAATTTCCAATTCTATAGATTCTAGCTCTACCTATGTGATATGTTGAGAATGATAAATTTTTGACTGATGATGATGGTATTGATTTTATTTCAAATATTTGCCTCATTTGCCTGAATTACTCAACTTTTGACCCGGTAAAGTAAAAGTAATTGATGCTTGATCAGAAATCGATCACAAATTAACAGATGTATGCTTGACTAAAAGTACAGGGATAGTATAAAAATACTGTCATGTTACGGTAAACACTGTATATTAATTGTCATAACAATTCTGAAATAGGATAATAATTCATTGGTAATTGTCTCTGCATATGTTGTAGCTGGCAGTGTAGATGCACAGTTCAGAAAGACAATTTGCACACTCAAGCACCATTTATAAATATTCCTTTCATGTGATTTCAATTTGTTATGACAAGTAACGTAAAAGATGACATCCTTTTGAAGACCACCCAAGGGTCTTGTTCGATTGAAAGGTTGAAAAAATAATGATAGATACAGTTCATACTTTATATTGTGCAGCTAGACCCCAGGGGGGATTCTCGAGATGACAAAACATTTATTTATAGATAGATCCTGGTATTGTTATGCTGCTAATAGAGGTAAATGTTCATTGCTGACTACATGCAATATGATCAACTATCGGAAGCTAGAGATGTATAGAGAAGCCACCAGTACGCAACACAATAGTCTTTTATAGTTCCAAAGATTTTGCTTTTTTACTCATGTGTGGTCTGAAATAAGCATGCATTTCCTTTAGTTATACCAGTATCTACGTTTCTATTATGTTCTATAGATCGAATTTTAGAATTTCAATTAAATCGTGTCTTTCATCTAATAGTATATGTATTAATAAAGGCGATCTCTTATGGTAATGGCATCACATGTTGATATTTCATGTAGTGTATCAAAAATGCATGCTAGTACTAGATGTACATATGAAATAACTTTTGATAGTATATATGTTTGTAACTTAATTAAGAAATCATGAAATGTTCTGCATGCGCTGTATTAAATCTATGCACAATGTACATATGGGAATGTCATCTTTACACTGGCAATATGTTGAGATGGAAATAAATACACATAAAGTTATAATATCATTTTGACAAATCTTTTATTTGCATTATTATTTACAATTTTTTTTTTTTTCAGTTGCTGTACATACCCCTTTTTTGTAAATTGTCATTCCTACAATTTCAACATGTCCTGACCAACTACAGGTATGACTTCATTAAAACCATTCTTTTTATTTCATAAAAGAACAAAATATTTTAAAAATATGAGCAGCATTATAACAATGCTACAATACTTTAATAATTTAATCTTGTTTGTACATAAGGTATCATATCGTCCCTATTTTTACGAAGTGACGGTAGTGAGGAAAATCGTAACGCAAAGTGAATGCAATTTTTGTTCACTACCGTCACTTCGTGAAAACAGCGACGATATTATAAACCAAGATTTAACCATGATATGACAATCAAGTACTCTAAAGTGCCTTCTTTTTTAGAGCACTACTCAAAATATATAATCGATAACAAATTGTTATAGGTCCTCTAAAAAGAAAAAACTCTCCCAAGTCTAGTTAGACTGTGTGTTGGAATAAATAACAATAATAATAATAATAGTCACATTTGTATAGCACTTAATACTATGTTTTTACGCACTTTACATTGTAATCATTATTACCCTGGTCATTGGATTCAATTGCCAATGTGAACATGAAAGTGCACATTCTCCGCTCCCTGGCGAGTACGCCGGCCAGGCGCCGGTTTACAAGCCACACATGCCAATTCAACCACATAACGTTCGGATATATCCACTAGACCACAACACCACTACAAATGGGAATAGTCTAGCACTACATCACAATGATATCACCAATTCAGCTTATTTGAGGTTCCAATATGTATACCGATTACAACTTTTTTAAATTCATCTTTTTGGGGGTCAGATTTTGCTCAAACTTTTACCAGTGTGCTTCTCTGATTTTTCTGCTTTCTACTAGTTGATTAGTTTGATATTAAGGTTATAATTCTCTTAAATGTTTTGCTAAAGGACTTGTACAAGTATGTTAGTGTTATGACAATGGTTCAAACCATAAGTCATGTGATCCACAGTCTGCTAAATTCTCCACTAGATCACAACACTTCTTCATTCATCATTCAAATATTTTTAATGAAATAAGTATGGAAAATGAATGAATATCAAGACTCTGTACCTACTCTGTATACACTAGTGTCCTTTGGCAAGACATTAATCGACACTCGCCACTCTCCACCCAGGTGTTAAATGGGAACCGGTAGGAAGGAATTCCTTAAATGCTGTGAGCGTCGAAATCGGCAGCCTAGCATAGCCGGGTAATGTTGGAGCGCCTTGCAAGGTCGAAACGTGCGCTATATAAGAATCTAATATTATTATTATTATTATTTCATACCCAGTGAACCTCAACCTCCAAGTATATCATATTCCGCAGGGAAATGTTTCAACTAGCAATAAATAAAGGGGGGCTGATAGGGGATGTCGGACTGGAGTTGGACTGGTGATGACGGTAGCTCCTAACCAACAAACACTACACATTATTTTGAAGCCAAAACATGATAATTGGGTTAACACTGGTCAGTCTTTACTCATGTTACCCTTCGACTCCGTCCAATGTGTCTGTCATCAGTGGAATATCAGCTTGGTCTGTGTGTCACTTCTTGAGTTTCTTGAGGACGTTGCCTTGTTCTACCGCCGCTAACCTCTTCTTCCTTTGCTGCTCATAAAGGGACACCAGTACGGAAAAAAATGAAAAAAGATATCGTGATTGACAGTGTCATAACAAGTCTATTTTACTCACAACTTGCCCCTCTACATAGAGAACAGCCATTGAGAATATTTAGTAATTGATTCTAAAAATGATGACACAGAGTAAAAAGTAGTAAAGAGAACCTCATTACATATGATTAATATAGAGTGCTATTTGATAATGTTTGGTTAAACCACACAAATTTCCAGTTTGAAAGACATGACATTAAAATTATCTTAACTGTTTGGTGAATTCCAAAGATTGGTGAAGGAAGTGCTGTCAAAAGGATAGAGCAAGGCAAATGTCAATAGGCACACATTTTCATGAAATTACCTTGCTGCAATGATCTAGTGCACTTTACAATTTGAAACACACATTATGCCAAATTCTCCATTTAATTCTGTTAGCAAAATGTCTTTTGATATTTGAGCCTTCCTTTCTCGACACAATATTTATTGATAATTATGGATGAATGGGTTCAGACAATTACTCCCAATGAACACTTGTGGACTGCAGTCAAGTCTTACTCCCTTCCATTACATGGGCAGCAAAACCCAACTATAGATCTACTTTAAATTTGCACTAAAACTCAATTTTTTAAACAGAAACACAACATTGTAATGGCTGTTTCCTAAGTGCATATTAAGCCTACCCTGCTTTGGTGACCACCTGTCTACAAAGACCACATTTTTTGTTTCCCTTGAAAGTGGCTTCTCATTGAAACATGTACTAAAGGAACCTGTCTATGAAGACTACTTTTTTTTTCCCTTGGTCCCTATAGACAGGTTTGACTGTATAATGATCAACATACCAATGAAATAAAGACTTTGAACTCCAAATTTCACTGATGATAATGTTGACAAACTTAAGAAATGGAGTTGTTTAATATTGATACTTACTGGGGTAATTGGAGTTGTCGACACAACATCTACGATGATCTGATCACCTAAATCAGTCATCTGGAGGAAGAAAAAAATACGAAATAATAAATGACATTAGCAGAGGCTGTGACTATGGTTGGAATAACAGAAATGTAAAATCAAATCTTAACCTAGTACCGGTAATGGCATAGCAGCATGCTAGGAGGAATGGTCTGTGAGTGTGAGTGTGTGTGAGTGTGTGTGTGTGTGGGGGGGGGGGGGGGGGGGGGGTGGGGGGCGGGGGATACTACTAATAATATAATAATAAAAACGGTGCTTATAAAGCACTTTTCACTGAAGTCTCTAAGTGCTACAACAGGTTGAACATTACAGCAGGTCGCAATTATCCAATGACATATTCATTTTCTCTGTCATCACCCTTATCAAGGATAATTTACCAATGGTATTTCCTGAAGTATTTCCCATTTGGTAAGAGCAACAAGTGTGTACATATTGGTGAGAATCACCACAGTGACCACATGATACTATGTTTGTCTTTGTTCATATTCCATGTAACACCAATACAAAACAAGTTTCTGTATCATACAATGAAGGAAAATAAAACTTTAATCTTGAGGATACTAATGATTATTAACAGTCATGGAATACACTCCTGAGTTATTAACATTCATTTAGACGCTTGAAAAAAAACGCCACAGTTTACCACTTCGTATCTAAAGGAGCCTTCAAAGGATCCTGCGAAGACTACAGAATCTTAGAACAATTTCACCATGTTCAGTGTACAAACTCAATGTCAATTTCACCATTGCAGTGTACAAACACCATGGCAATTTTACCATGTTGAGTGTACAAACACCATGTCAATTTCAGCATGTTCAGTGTACAAACCCCATGTCAATTTCAGCATGTTCAGTGTACAAACACCATGCCAATTTCACCATGTTCAGTGTACAAACACCATGTCAATTTCACCATGTTGAGTGTACAAACCCCATGTCGATTTCAGCATGTTCAGTGTACAAACACCATGTCAATTTCGCTATAATCAGTGTACAAACACCATGTCAATTTCACCATGTTTAGTGTACAAACACTATGTCAATTTCACCATGTTCAGAGTACAAACACCACGTCAATTTCACCATGTTCAGTGTACAAACACCATGTTCAGTGTACAAACACCATGTCAGTGTCCCTATGTTCAGTGTACAAACCTTTCTACTGGTTCCTGGAGAGAGTGGTTCTTCTTTGATGTCCTTCTCCTCATCTTCACCTCTCTCCTCCGCTCCTTCAATGATGTTCAAGGATGCTGATAATGATGTCTCTGGTAGGATACCTGCTGTAATGGATGCTGGTAAACCCAGCTTGGTCCCACCTATGCCTTCTCCTGCTGCGAGCGCTGCTCCTAGGGTCAATGTTGGTTTGGATGGGAGTTTTCCTGGGGCTAGAGCTTCATAACGGTGCCGTAGGGTCTGAAGCTCAAATTCACAGTTTGCCAGGGCTAGCTTCAACTCATACAGTAGCACCATGTCTGATCTATAGTCAGAAACATAGTGATGGTAAATTCATTTCTTTCAGGTTCAATTCATACAAAAAGGTTCCCAGATCACGGCAACAGGGAATCTATGCAATAGGTTGATACAACAGGCAAATAAAGCAAGTGCTGAACTTTTAACCACAAAACCTTACTGAAATACCGATGCCATCAATTGAAATGGGCTTAATGAATGGATCTCTGACATAACCGCCCAACAGCCTTATATCTTCATCTTTTAGCAACACACACCTATACCCATTAGTTTTTGAGGAAAAGACTAAATTTTGCATATTTTCAAAAATTGACCTTGAATGAACCCTAGATGATTGCAAACTATTCCAGTGGTTTCCAAACTCATAATTACATTCTTTTGAAGCACATCACTATACATGTACATAGACACAGACTCTATGACCTCTAATGACCCCTATACGACCTTTAAAATATCAATTTTTAAAGAAAATTGTTTTATTCACAACGTCTACAGCATAGATGCTTCAGTAGAATTTATTTTTTTATTTTTTAGAATGTTAACAAGTTTCCTCAAATCATTTCCACAGCTTTTTGGAAGCGCACAGGAACCTTATAATGTGGTATGCGCTATACAAGAATGGAATATTATTGTTATTTATCTGACTCCATTGAAGTGATTTGTTTTTTAACATACAAATTTTGACCTGATATATAACATCATTATTAGTATTATCTTTCAAATGCAGTTGGAATTTAACTTTTTCATTTTTTTGGCCTGCAAATGGGACATAGTACCTTTAAGACTCTGTTGAAGATCTATCTTTTTGTAAATTGTTGATTTTGTTCCAGCTGCTTAGTGACTTTTTTGGTTATAGCATCATGTACATATTTAATATTTAATTTAATTTTCATTTAATTTTCATGTTTAAATTTGTATTACCTGAATGTACAATCTATTACATGTAAGCTATATAGGAATTGCGTATGATTATTATTGTTTGTAATTAATTATTTTCATGTATCAGGCATAAATGTCCATTTCTATTCCACCCTATCTCTTAAAGCGCATAGGGACCTTCTTTATGTTAGTGATATGCGCTATACAAATAACGTTCATTTTTATTATCACTGGTAAGCAGTGCATATTTTCTGCCGTTATTATGATACATATGAGAGAAAAAATATGATACATAGTACATACCTGACTTCATTGTAGAGAAGAGAGACCTCTTCAGTAGGCATGGGTTGTACTGGAATACCAAGCTCATCTAATAGGTGCTCAATAGCTTTGGTTTTCTTCAGTCCAACAGCCGATGGAAGCTTCATCTAATCATCAAATATCAATCAATCAAATCTTAATGTCAGGTTCAATCTCCATTTCATTTTTGAAAACTGAAAGTCACAACATATTTACATTATCTCGCATTTGCAGCCCTCACATTGTAAGCACATATCTCACTTTTTAAACAATCAATTTTGAAAATCATGGTGTAGAATGCGAGATTCCTAAATGACACACACACAGCAAGTAACCTAAATCTATAGCATATAAATGTAAATCTAACCCTAAAATGGCATCAAGGCCCCATTACAGATACTATTGGCCTGGTCATTAGAATCGTACTAGAACACGATGTATGCACCATCTCCACTCCCTAAGAATAATGTGGAAGATCACTGGGTGTCACTATGGCATATTTGATCACAGAATTTGGCTTCCTATCAATTCAATTCAATTAAATTTTTTATTTCGCCGTCGGTTTTCTGGTTGCTTACTAACAAGCATTTATTGCTTTCTTAGCTGTCAGGTAAAATAACCACCACTATCACCCACCCACTATATACATATTCCTTTTGAGACAATCATATTTGATACTGAGACCCATTTAAATTAAATTAAACAGCAAATTTTCAAAATCCTGACCTGAAAGGGATATACATGTACACCAGACATCACCATATCTTGAACATTTAATACCTTAACATATACCGGTACATATTTATCAGTAGTATTGGGTCTAAATACTTCTGATGAGGATTCCATATTATACAAATAATACACATCATTTTGTTTGTGCATTAGTAAGAATTACCAATACAAGGTACCTTTGGAACAGTCTAACACGCCCGAGGCGGTAGCCGAGGGTGTTTGGCTTGTTTTGAAGGTACCGAGTGTGGGTAATTTTATTAATGCCTGAACAAAATGATGTGTATTATTTGTTTTATAAGATTATGTTTTATTTGTTTTATAAAATGATGTTGTATAGCATGATTTTACTAATGACCGGTCATTAGAATTGGAATACTAATGGCCGGTCATTATCAAAATTGCGCGTTAGGCAAAATACATGCCTGGTCTAATAAAACAGGATATCTTACCTTTTGGCTCCTAAGATAAACACCCGATTGCTTGAAATCAGGAAACTTGATACCTCCAGTTTCCAAAATCTAGAAGTGATAATCAAAGTGAGAGGTAAATAATGAATTCATCTTCTAATCTTTGAAGATGGCATGATGCATCAAGAACTCATATATATTCCCAGGTCTAATTCTAAAAAAAATAGGAGAATTTTTGCTCTACAGTTAGGTATAACTCATCTGAATTGATTTGATTTGATTTATTTATTTCTGTTTAATTTTCTTTATCTTTTGCATTTTTACAAATATATAACAAACAAAACATTGCAATTTGTTCACATTTCAAAAGAATATAATTCGATCTTTAACCTCATGAAATATAAGAAAAGAATGTCCAGTCCCAAAGAATGTTACTGTTGATAAAAAGGTGTTTAAAACTTGGAGTCTACTCAAGCACTCTGACTTAATATGAGTTACAGGATTTGTGCAAAATAACCAAAGGAGAGGATTAGAACTGAACAAAATATTCTGCCTAGGTATGAACGCATTAGCTTACTCACTCATAAAGGTATGGGTGATCAAAAGAAACAAGTAGCCAGGATTGTAAAGAGATAAAATCTATAACGACAAACTCGAGATCAGAAAAACAATTATTACTTCCACACTGTATGATGCCTCAAAATTGTGAAAGTAAACAGAAGTACACTCTTTCATAAAATCTAAAAGAATAATATTGAGGATAATAACAAATAACTAAATTTGAACATGCTATCCAAACACATGTTTACAGAACTTGAACGGAGAATTACACCATGTTACTTTGTTTATTTATTATTTTTCATTTGCCATATATTTGAAAGCACTATTAGAACATACTACATGTACATACACGGAAAGGAATTGATGTTAACATGAGCTCACTGTTAGCCTCATTCCACAGAACTGTCTAAGCTAGCTCTCTGTCTCTCTTTTTTACTTTAATATTTATGTAGTTATTGAAGTAATAGACAAATCTAAACTCACCTTGGTAGATCCTTCCAGTTCTCTTTTCTTGCTGAGCGGAAGTGAAAGCTTCTTCTTGTTGATCTTTCTTTCTGTTCTCCTTAAGTCCGCGTTGTTATCTGCAGCTGTTATAAGCTTCTGAAGGTCCTGTGCCTTCTTTTCCCGCTCCTTTTTCCTCAGCTCAATCTTTTTCATTTCAGTGATGAGCGTCTCCTCCTCTTCAACCTGAAAGTACCAACAGCATCCATCATACATTTTCAGTCTATTTTTTTCTTTTCAACATATAATAAGCAAGCATGTATTGTCACAGTTGCCAACCCTTGACACCCAAAAAAAGACTGAATATCCTTTAAAAAATCAGATTTTTACGAAAACTCGACACTGACAGTACCACTGCCCCAGGCAAGTAAAATGTCAGAAAATGTTTTACTGGTACGAATGGTCAAGTCAAATGTAAGCTCTTTCATTAACACTTTAAGAGAAAATTATAAAGCAAAGTTTTTGTCTGGGTTGCGTATTTCACTCTTATTATCGCACCAAATACAATTAAATCGTACTGGTTGGCATTTCTGCATTGTGTTCATGTGACATTTGCTCTATTCATTCTACATGTCTAATATCAGTTGACTGATAAGTTCCATGCCCTCAATGTTAATATCAGGAAAGACATCTGCTCTAAATACAGCATGTAGGTTTAGAAGAATATTTTTATGGCTTGTTTGGATATGGTATGATAAACCTACCCCCCCTCCCCCCTCTCTCACTAAAAAATGAATCTAAATAATTATCCCTTTACTCTTCTCAAGCTGACCGAGCTTTTTATTGTTAACTATAGTGTGACGCGCTCAGTGTGCGCCAATTCATCAAGCCCCTGTGGCTTTTATGGATGCACCTTTTTCCATCCCACACTTTTAGTAGATCTTATAAATAAGGTTTTTTTTTTCTTCTTTTTTTTTCTTCCAATGGTTATACAGTGTTCATATATATATATATATATATATTTCTTTGCCTATGTGTTACATCAAAGTATAATGTCATTTTTACTGTGATTGGAATCAAATAAAAGTCAAATCGATTCAATGATATTTTCCACGCTGTTACTTACCTGTTCGTTAGTTCTGTTATACAGCCTGATCAGCTGTTCTTTCCTTCTCCTTTCATGCTCTGCATCGAATGCCTGTGGAGCCCTGTTACTGAGGGTGGGGTCACTCCGAACCTTGGCTAGTTTGTTTATTATACTGTAGTACCTTTCCTTCATGTCCTCCATAGATCTTTTCTGTTAACATGAAAACAAAATAAACTGTATTCATCTCTTTGGCAAGGTATAGTGAAACCTGTCTACAGTGACCGCCCAAGGGAGAGAAGAAAAGTGGTCTTTATAGGTGGTCTTTTATGTACAGGTTCCTTTAGTACATATTTCAATGAGAAACCATTTTCAAGGGAAACATAAAAAGTGGTATTTGTAGACAGGTGGTCACTAAAGCAGGTTTGAATAACATGAGATGAATTTTAAATAAATGTACTTGAAAAGAAGGCTAATAACAATATAAATATGGGCTCCTTTGGAAAGGTTGACTACAAAAATGTTCTATTCCAATCTTATTAGCTGCAATGGTTAACTACTGTACTGTCTGATTAACCACATTATAAATGGTTACTTGAGGTATATATACACATTTGAATTGTATTGATTCTAGGGCTTTCTTTATAGATTTCTATTACAGTTTAATTGTATAAACTACACATCACTTCATACGTGTCTTCTCTGAATTGACTGCAAGGCAGTAAACTTGATATTAATCAAACTATTCAGTAGCATTCCATTTAGAACATTCTCCACTTTCCAATAACTTGAACTTATTTAAACCTTTTTTTTGTTACAGCCTTCATAGTTAAAGCTTCTTTTACAATCAGCCATTCATCCCAAAAAATCCTTTTCTTACACATTTTCGTTTATCCCACATTGCATTATTGAACATCCTCTTCACACAAAAATTGTTTATTCTGAACTTGTCAATACTTTCAGTCATTCTCTTTTGTAGTATTTTACTGTGATTATATTTTTTTCATGTACATTTTATGTCAAACCTCCTAAATATACAAAAGCAGTGTAAACTCAGTTCCTGAAAATGATTACAAAGCCAACAAATTCTTTATAGTTCTTTACTTCATGAATATATACAAGTATATTGGATGAGATCTTACCCCATACGTTATCTGATCAAATCTGTCATTAACAATGACCCAGCGAAGGTCAAAGCGGGTGCAAAGGTCAAACATGTGATCAGTAGCTAGCCGTGTCCATTTCTCACTGTGTAAATGAAGTTGATATTCCTGGTCCGTGTACATTGGCATCTGAACTGACTGGAATTCAAAAGGGGAAAAAATGAAGAAAAAAAAAATTGCGAAAAAAATTATATTAATAATACTGTGGGAGAATATTCACTGCTCATATACAGTATGTCGATTTTGCAAACATACTTTAACGACCCACGCAAGAGTCCAAATGTGCCTCACAAATTTCAGCATTTCATTCAAGGTTCACAAGGTAATAAGACTATGTGGTAGTCATTTCTTCTTTTCTTCTATTTTCCACTCTTTTCCGTATACACAGGTTTTTACTTCATATGATTGAGTCAGGCGCGTACGCAGGAATTTTTCAAGGGGGGGGGGGGGGGGGGGGGGTTTTAACATTTATAAATCGGGCCGAAAATTTCGCAATGACTCAGCCAGCCGCTGAATAAGCGGGGGGAGGGGGGGGGGGGGGGTTAGAGGACACTTTTTTTTTTTTGTTATCCCCAAAAAATCGCAATGACTCAGCCGACCGCTGAATAAGGAGGGGGGGGGGGGGGGGGGGGGAGGATACTTGCAAAAAAAAAAAAAAACAACCAAAGGGGGGGGGGGGGTTTAGGGGGGTTTACACACAAAAAAATACCATGGGGGGGGGGGGGGTTAACCCCCCAAACCCCCCCCCCCCCCCCCCCCCCCCCCCCCCCCCCCCCCCCCCCCGCCCCTGTGTACGCGCTTGGGTTGAGAACTGTTCAATACTTCAATGAATAATACTACATTGTCATAAAAGACTCTATGCAAAAGGAGAGTATTCAGTCAAAAACGATGAGAGGTATTGTATCCTTCCTAAGTTCTGTGATATTAAAGTGCAATTGGGGAAGAAAAGAAAATCATCATCTACATGTAACTATCTGCTTGAAAGCTTTTTCCCCAACACACAGTTCAATTTACATATATAAATTAATGTAAAAATACTCTGTGTGTCATTCCCTTTAATTTGCTTAATCTCTGATTTTTAATCTGAGTTTATTTCGATATGAGTTCCTTTCCACAAAATCTGAACATAAAATGAACATGTGGAATTATTGACAACAAAACTACTTTAAACTTCATTGTCTTTTCATACATAATAGTTTTTAGAAAAGAAAATAATTCCTACCCTAAATATACCTGACAGACACTGCCTTTTAAAATAACAGGAAAAATTTGATGCAGATATCCCCTAAAACACCTCTTTAGAATGTCTGTGAGCTTGAAAAACCAGGGACCTGTCTACATTTACAGGTCCCTGGATAAACACTAAAAACCAGGGACCCGTCTACATTTACAGGTCCCTGGATAAACACTAAAAACCAGGGACCCGTCTACATTTACAGGTCCCTGGATAAACACTAAAAACCAGGGACCTGTCTACATTTACAGGTCCCTGGATAAACACTAAAAACCAGGGACCCGTCTACATTTACAGGTCCCTGGATGAACACTAAAAACCAGGGACCTGTCTACATTTACAGGTCCCTGGATGAACACTAAAAACCAGGGACCCGTCTACATTTACAGGTCCCTGGATGAACACTAAAAACCAGGGACCTGTCTACATTTACAGGTCCCTGGATAAACACTAAAAACCAGGGACCTGTCTACATTTACAGGTCCCTGGATAAACACTAAAAACCAGGGACCTGTCTACATTTACAGGTCCCTGGATGAACACTAAAAACCAGGGACCTGTCTACATTTACAGGTCCCTGGATAAACACTAAAAACCAGGGACCTGTCTACATTTACAGGTCCCTGGATAAACACTAAAAACCAGGGACCCGTCTACATTTACAGGTCCCTGGATAAACACTAAAAACCAGGGACTTGTTTACATTTACAGGTCCCTGGATGAACACTAAAAACCAGGGACTTGTTTACATTTACAGGTCCCTGGATAAACGCTAAACACACACACCTTGTCAAATCTTGCAAATGGATAGTCCTTTCCTTCATCGGCCACCCTTCTCCAATGCTGGAAGACGGCTCCATCTTTCCTTCCTGGGTTGGTGAAAGGCATGAACTTCCAGGGTCTGACCTGCCATCTCCCTAGCTTGACCTTCATCGACTTGTAACCATGGTTACTATCTGATGGTATCAGCGGGGGTGGGTCTCTAAAATAAAAATGGTGAATAAAAACCCTTGATAAAATCTTTGGACAACTGGGACTTACTCAGGTAACATTCTCATCATATTAAAAAGTTTAAGTTTTCATTGCATTAACATACTAGGTTAGTATGTGAATCCAACTTTCACCACTTTAATCAAATATGGAAATGTTCTGAATTTGTGCCCAGAACTACATGTAATAACAAGGAATTGTAATGATAATAATAATAATAATACTCAGTTTTTATATAGCGCTTATTAGAATCACTAAGCACTTCCAAATTTGGAGATTATTACTCCGGCTTTAGCTGTGCTGCCAATACGGCACTCTAGCATTTCAAAGAATTTATTTCCTGCTAGGTCAAGTACATGAACAGGTGTAAATGAACTTTCCAACATTTTAAATTTAGCTACAATTCACAGCCCATAATAACTTCACTACAAGACAATTACCGGTACTACTAAAACTAAAAGTCCTACATATGGAGGGTGAATGGTGCTTACAGTGTAGTACATTAACAAGATGTCTGACTTTATACAACTTCATGTACATGTATTTATTTACTTATTAGATATATATCAGCCTCCTTGAAGTGTTACCAAAAAGAAATGCAATAAGAAAAACTAACATACCAGTGTAACCAAGACAAAATACTCATAATACACTGAATATCATGTTCATGGTATGTACACATGTACATTGTAAGTGAGCTTTCTGACATGCGATTATAAATAAAAAAGAATTATGTCGATCTAGTTTTAACAAATACTGTGCAATATTAGAAGGAACAAAATCTTAATTTATTCATTTATTTTGTTGTCACTTAATATCAATCATTGCACTATGCATCTATTCAGAAAGAAATAAAAAAATTAATTGTTTCAAACTTACTTGTTATCAGAATAGAGTAATGCATAGACTTCTCTGTGCATTCCCTCGGGTCGCTTGAATACTGCTTCATTATTTTTCTTCAGTTTCTGATAGAAAGAACAAGAATAAAATGGTCTTGTGTTAGAGACGAGAGTTATGTAGGAGATCGATTCAACAACTTACAGTATATGAATGGGGTCATAAATGTAACCTCATAATGAATACAGCCATAGCCATTACAAAAACAAATATAAAAGAAAAGATACAAATGGTACAAGTTGATGTCCTTAGTGCTCTACTTCAGCATACAATAATTGATAAGCAAAGTTAGTGAAGTTCTCAATTCCAGTAGGCTTCCTCTCTCAAACTTCAAAAATCAAAGCAAGAAAGTGCAACTGACACTGACTGGTGTTTCAACTTTCAAGTGGATTTGGGTACATCCTAATCCGAGTGAGATGGAATACAAGTTTTGTCCTTCTGTTTTGTGAACCTAGAGTGTAAAATCGACCCATAGTCCCATACATGCCATGCCATACATGTATCTAGTAAACTCCTTGTACATGTAGCTACATGTACAAACACAGGTGTTACAGCCTTATCAGTAGAGGGCTAGAGGCGCATAGCCATTATTTACACAGCCCAAAAAACATCTTCTTTTTTTTAAATTTCCATTTTAACTACCCGGTACTGAAAAATCCAAAAAAAACTGCCAGGGTTTGATCATTCTTTTTTTTTCTTTGTGTATTTGTGCTCATACACCAATTGTCCTAGACCGAAAGCTTCAGTTTCTGATATCAATGATTGTTCCACTGAGATTACATCTGGCTCCACTGACTGTCTCTATACAGAGACTGAAGTACATCATATGGGATAGTGAGTGGAAGGAATTATCGCTCATATTAAAATATGAATCCTCTCCGAAAATGCGGACGATCCTTATTTTTGAGGATGCATCCGTCCGCATTAACGAAGACGGTCCAGAACAATTGCAGAATACCCTACCAACTACCAACGACCAAATACTATTGAATGAAAGAGTCCAACGACCATCGACCAACAGTCTGAAAAACAGTCTGACTAATTATAACCAAAGACCATCGACCAAATACTATTGAATGTAAGAGAGTCCAACGACCATCGACCAACAGTCTGGCAAATATTAGAAATATTAGAAACCAATGACCATCGACCAAATAGTATTAAGGCATATTTGTTTAAAAGAGCCAACAACCATAGACAAAGATACTGACAAATATTAAAAAAGAAGCCAACTACCATCAACCAATGCTAGTCTAGTCTACTCTAAGCACAAAACTATTTTTTTCTTTTGTATTTTTAAAATGAGACATCACTTCACTTGTTGATTAAAGAAGCACAAAACTATCTTTCTCTTTTGTATTTTTAGAACGAGACATCACTTAAAATATCTATTAGTCTTTGACAGCAGACTAAGCAGTGTCAAGAGCTTACATGTAGGTGGTGTGCACCTGGGGTGGGTTCCTAGAAACCATAATAAGTCTAACTTCTTGACTATCCTAGTATTGAAACGTGTGTTATAGAATTAACACGCGTTTCAATGGGATAGTCAAGAAGTTAGACTTATGACGGTTTCTAGGAACCCGCCCCTGTAATCCAGCTAACAATGGAAGTTACAAACCGATTCAGCCAAGGAGGCAGGTTCGAAACTGAGTCACGTCTTTCGGATGGTGACGTTAATAAAGGTCGGTCCCCAGACGTAAATCTGATTGACACACGTCTGTAAAAACCCAATTACACACACACACACTTACACATACAATACAAACACATACAAAATATGTGTGTGGGACTATACACGGGCTGGACGTTGCATTAGTGAAATAGTGCTCAGAATTCAAGTAGTTCATCTAAACCCTATTAAATGACCATTACAGACAAGAAACAAGTCAAAGGTAAGGACATTAATCAGTGCTTATCAATATAACAGAAATTTTGCATGAAATATCATCAGGAAAGCCATCTAAATTGGTCACAAATTAGCAACAAACACACCAAATTCAGAGCTGCAATAACACTAGACCGAAAGCTTCAGTCTCTATAATCGTCGGTTGTTCCACTGAGACTACGTCTGGCTCCACTAGACCTCCGGTTATAGAGACAGAACGATCGCCTATGCCAGCCTATGTTGAACTTATTCCGCTAGATTTTAGCCGCTAGGCCCCTCCCACAAACTTGCCACGGCCGTATTGTTATGCCCCCAAAATCCCCCAAAATGTCATTTTACCTCGTTCATTTCCAATTTTAAATTAGGCCTAGGCTATAATACATCGGTTCCACTTACTAACTTCATTGATATAATCCGTTTAATGGTCCCTTTTAAGGAAATTATCGGTCAAAATCGACATCCATGTTGAAAATCTTGCAAGCCGTGTTAAACTCTCGCTGCCGTCAATCTCATCCCTTCTAGTCTACGCCGAAGGCAAAATGATTATGAAGGAAAAACTGTGCGCCATCTACACGTTCGTAATGGCGTTATCACAGTTTTTCCTTCATAATCATTTTGCCTTCGGCGTAGACTAGAAGGGATGAGATTGACGGCAGCGGGAGTTAAACACGGCTTGCAAGATTTTCAACATGGATGTCGATTTTGACCGATAATTTCCTTAAAAGGGACCATTAAACGGATTATATCAATGAAGTTAGTAAGTGGAACCGATGTATTATAGCCTAGGCCTAATTTAAAATTGGAAATGAACGAGGTAAAATGACATTTTGGGGGATTTTGGGGGCATAACAATACGGCCGTGGCAAGTTTGTGGGAGGGGCCTAGCGGCTAAAATCTAGCGGAATAAGTTCAACACAGGCTGGTATAGGCAGTCGTTCAGTCTCTATAACCGGAGGTCTAGTGGAGCCAGACGTAGTCTCAGTGGAACAACCGACGATTATAGAGACTGAAGCTTTCGGTCTACAATAACACACAAAACAGCGTAAAATTCACATTTTCGTCCACCAAAATGATTATAAACACTCGCATTATACAATCTTCAATACCTTTATCACCGTTATCGCAAACAATAAAATCACAATCTATATCTACGGCTAATATACGAAGACTGAAAATGTGGTAGGGTATTCTGCAATTAAGCCGACGATCCTTATTTTCGGACCAGTGCCCCTACCCTAGTGCCCTACACATCAACACGTCATGGGGAAGGTTGGCAAATGTCATTTTACCAGACAGTTATTTCTGTCTAGATGGTTATTTCTGTCTAGCCTTAACTGCCCAAGGAGCTACATATACAAGTCATGCAGTATCTTGCTGGCTCTCATCTCAGCTACTATGAGACTATAAAGAGACAGGGTGCCACTGCATTCTGCACTAGGCCATCCTCACGGCCGCGGCCCCGTCCGTGTACGCAGCCATGGACAAGGCCTGGTCGAACCACACGGGCGTGAGCCGTGACATGACATGTCTATCTATGCATGGGGTTAACGTATGTACATAGGCGGCTGTAGCTGTACGTACCTGTTTTTTCTGCTCTCCAATTATTCCTGTTTTTCTCACATTTTGACCAGATTCACCGTGAGAAGTTGTAGGGAGTCTTTCAGAATCAATATCCCACTCTAAAATATCTCTGACATCAACCATCTTTGACAATTTAGTGCTAAAAAAGTAAACAACAAGCTTGAGCAAGGAAAACGAGATGCGATTCGCGATACTACATGTCCATAATAATAGTTTAGACCCTACCAGTCGTTTACAGAATATACGATTGAAAAAGACTTTTATGGAATATGTTTGTATAATAAAAATATTTCATATAATTTAAATCGAAGGCTTATGTATATTTTAATCTTTCATGAATTATTTGTACCAAAATATAATGAAAAACAACATGCAAATTATGTACTTACTGCTGGATTATGTTTCATGCAATAAAATATAAATACATTAAGTCTTCCCGCTCTTTCAGCGAAGGGGGTATAGCTCAGTGGTAGAGCATTCGACTGCAGATCGAGAGGTCCCCGGTTCAAATCCGGGTGCCCCCTTGTCACCTTTTTATATTTTTTAACATTCTTTTTTTAAAAAATAATTTACAAACTATACTCACCAACACAATCGACATTTAAACAGAACCAAAAATCACCTTTTCCCTTTTCCTTTGTTTTTTAACACATATTAGGAGCTATATATTCTGACAGTTTTGTAGTTAGGCTATATCATCATTCTGTTTCAGTTGGTACGCCTATTATCTTTAAATTAAAAGCTAAACTTGAGAATAAGAATATACGGTACTCACATATTAAAGATACAGTTGAGTTCTGTTAAAAAAAGAAAATGAATTCTCACAGAATCAAACGAAACTTACACTGAATGTTCAAGATTACAAATAAATGTCATTTGCCAAACAATTTTGGTAGAAAATGTATACTGGCTGAGTAATGAGCATTGAAAGATAAGGGAATCACTTAGGTAAGCCGACACAATGTGTGTAGTCCCATACATATCTTTCTGTGTACAGTGCTTGTTCCTTTACCAAGACTGGGCCAAATTTATTACGGTTTTGATGACTCCAGAACCTTGCAGTACACTCAAATACTTACATGCTACATGATCAACCTTTTCTGATCCATTCCACACCTTTTCTTTCACATTGCTATCAGATGACCAGAACTCACCTTTATCTTTAAGACATAATTATGGGGGTATGCCGCTCTAATGGATCTTTTGCACAAAAAATTCCCTAAACATGGGTCCCATTTGAACAAAAATAGCATTTAAAATGAGTCAGTTTTTTTTTATTCCAAAATTTCAGGTGTTTGCATTATTATCAAATACCCTGGAAATGTGAATAAATGGACCTTACTTTGTAAATAATGACCCTTTAAAATGGGTAGGGATTTCGAGTCTTGAGCGGCACACCCCCGTCTAAACCATTTTTGAGTACCCCGCCCCCCCCGGGCTCTTTCCTATCTCTCTACCCATCTCTTTTTCTCATTTCCCACCTCCTTATATCTGTCTTTGTTCTAGTAATCCTTCTCTCTTCTAAACTTTATCTTAGATAGTATGTCTGAAGTACAATGTAATTCATTTGTCGTGTTAATCGTTCATTATAACATTTTCCATAGATTTTGCAATTCACTTTTCGTATGTTTGTTTTTCTGAACCTACAGGCTTTAGTATTACGTCTCTAAGTTGATCTGATATTATTACTGTTCGGTTCGTATAAGATTATTTATTCAGGCCTATTTATTTATTTTAAATGGTTTATTTCATTAAAAAACACTCGCGGCCCGAGAGCCGAATTGCAGTTTCTGTTACAAAGTATACATCAGTGACAAAGTAAAATTACACGTAAAACATAATGCATACTATGGTAGTAAATTTGCAATTCTTTTTGTACATAGAATATATAATAAGTGCTTTAACTGCTCTTGCTATAATTACTCCCCGGCAATTCTGTTTACATTAATCAAACTCCCAAACCCAAGCCAGGTTTGGGAGTTTGATTAATGTACAGAATTGCCGGGGACTATTATGTTAACATTATAGTCAGCAATTCTCTATGTTCTTTTTACTATTTATAAAATCCTACAATTTAGTAATATTGGTCGCTAATGATTTGTTTTCCCTTTAATCAACCATTGCTTCTACTATACAATTTTCAGATAAAGCATTACAAAGCCAATCTCTTTCAAAACCCAAAAGCAGGACTATATGACCTACCGATGCTACACTATAATACTGTATAATGGAATAAAACCTATGAATAAAATTGAAGATGTTTATACTGGCTAGAAAAAGGAGGCTCAACGCCACTGCACCCCATCACATCCCTCCTGGGCCAGGGAATGTAAAAAGGACTGCGGCCTTCATTAAATGAAGATTTTTAGTATATACTGGCTAGAAAAAGGAGGCATTAAGGCTAAGCCACTGCACCCCATCCCATCCCTCCTGGGCCAGGGAATGTAAAAAGGGCGACAGCCTTTTACTTTCTTACAAACATACAAAGGAATAATCCATCCATGACGTCATTCTCTTCAAAGCAGTTTCCCGTCCACTACCTTTGTGTAGCGTCCTGTCCAAACCAAGGATCTTGTCTCGTAACTCCTTGACCGAACTCAACACAATTACAACAACAACAGGTGTGCGCACACCAGTCCGCACCCGGGCCGTGTACATACAATGTACGGTGTATGTTTGTCTGTGCAGCGATAGAATATTTTGGCGTCATTGGAGCTATAAGATGGCGCCTGCTTAGTAACGCCATGATATTTTATACGCAGTGACGAACGCTTACAAATTGGTTATTTTCTGCTTGTGGTATTCAGGTTGAGCACCTGAATATAATTATGGTAAGGAATACACATTTACCATTTTTATCACCTTTATCATAGTATCATTAGAAAACTTGCCGCTTAGTCACGACCGTCGACTTTTTATGTCCATCTTTTATCATAGTAAGTTAATAGCCTAATGCGTTTCGACCCAAGTCAACTTACGAATCATGGCCGGTTACGGTATTTAATACGGAGAAGGGAACAATATTCTCACGCTCATGAATCCAAAACATGTATTTTTGTCATACATTTCGAATTAGGGGCCTATGCATTGTCAGAATGTATTATGATCATTGCAGAGCCCTCAAGAAGAGCAGTATCAATACGGATGAGGCTATACCCTAAAATGTGATCAGTTTGTTTTCTTCGTGCGTAGTAGTAGTAGTAGTAGTAGTAGAAGTACTAGTAGTATATATTAGTAATTGTATATATTAAGTGTTGTTGCTGCTGTTAAATATTATGAATTATATTTCATATAGATGAGTATAAAGTATTCACTGAAACCATATACTTTCATTAAACTTTGATAAAACATTAAACAATGATATTAATTCACTTTAATAAATAAAAATTGAATTTCAGCAATCGGTATGAGACGTTCAGGAACTGCATTTGTTGCACTCGTGCTTTCTTTTCTGTATATAGGTAAGTCAGCATTGTTCCCTTTTTTGTCAAAGTAAATTCGTTTACAATTAAACGGTAACCATTAGATAAGTAAGGAAGTGGAGATGGAAGAAAGAGTTGAGACATCACTCGGTTGAGAACTAGTAACATATGGAGAATGGTTGACATAGTAAGGAGACAAAACTCTTCTTGGCGAGATTCTAAATGACTGATTTTAATTTAAATGATGCATCATGATCACTATAGAATCGGGTACATGATTTCATGAATCATTTTTTTTTAATAATATTAAAAGAGAACATTGATTTCTCTCTTTAGAAAGCGCTCATACATGCATGTAATGCCATGCGAGCTTTCAAATCAAATCATACTTTTATATCAAGTTTTAAGAGTTACCGTATTCAAGGTCTAGAGTGGCAATTTCCTTGATTTCTTAACAGATGCCATAGCGGGACTCGAACCGATGAATTTCTTTCCCTATTCTATTGTTGTCAATATTCGACACTACTCTCTCTAAAAAAAAAAAATAGAGTGAACACGGACGTCACTCCTCTGGAGAGTGAAAATAGAGTGAACATTCACTCTTTTCTTCTTATAGAGAGCACTCGAAAATCAATAGATATTCACTCCTAAACAAGTGATCACGGACGTCACTCCCAAGAAAGTGAAAATAGAGTGAAAATTCACTCTTTTTTTTTTAAACAGTAAACTATCACTAACATAAAACCTATACATGGTAGAATCTAATGATGATAATAATTAATTCATGAAATGTTTTGTTTCATTTAGCATGTTTAGCGGAAGCAAATGTAATAAGTTTGGGGAGTATGCTTGGATGGCTAGATCCGAAGCTTAATTCTATCTTTGGAGCTTACGGCAGATTCAATAGATATGGATGTTACTGTGGTATTGGTGGCTCAGGATTACCAGTGGATCAAATCGACTGGTAATAATCATTTATACTTCTCCTCGTCCTTCTTATTCCCTTTATTTCTGTATTATCATCATCATTTTTTTTTCTTCCTCCTCCTCCTCCTCTTCCTCCTCGTCTTACTCTTCTTCTTCTCCTCGTCCTTCTTATTCCCTTTATTTCTGTATCATCTTTTTCTTCTTCATCCCCCTCCTCCTCTTCCTCTTCTTCCTACTCTTCTTCTTCTCCGTCTTCTTCTCCTCCTTCTTCTTACTCTTCTTCATTTTCTTCTTCTTCTTCACGTCTATCTAATTATTAAATAATTCTTGCAATTTTTATAATATCCGAATTCCATTTCATTCACATATTTTTAACGTTGATCACGTAAGAATGTAATTGTCCTTCGAAAAATAATGTCGATTTTAAATAAACTTGGCATTCCTTTCCAGTTATGATAAATGATTTTTGTTAATTCTATTCAGCTGTTGTCAGCTACATGATGCATGTTATGACAGCTTAACAGACGACGGGACATGTACAAGGGGAGGAACATTTAGCCATCTTTATCAATATACTAAATACAAAGAAGATGGAAGACCACAAATCAAATGTAGTAAGTAGAACGTTCATTATGAATATAGACGTAATAAGGAAAATTATCATCTTTTCATGGAACAGTATATGGATATTATTATATTAATATCAAATATTGAGAAAAGAAGAAAAGGAAAATGAACACGAAAAGAAAAAGAAAAGGTGCCCTAATATGAGGTTGGTATAATTGCCACCCAACTTTTGGCAAACTTCTAGGCAATCGTCTGTAGTAATATAAAGTTTGCCAAATGAATACTGCGTGTATGCTCACTTTCTACCAAATGCGCACTATACTATTATATTGCCCCTTGGAAGAATTTTCCCATACATAACCAACCTAGAGTTAATTGAATCAGGGTAGACACGGCCCTATAGGTTTATTGTCTAATAGGCATAGTTGTCCAGGAAGTAGTTTTCCTAGTTTTCTGCTGGTAAACTTGTCCTCGAATATAATACTATTCCAGAAGTGGTCTCTTATATTGATTGAAATACTTGACATTTTCAAGGTGAGATAACTGCCTTCCGAACGGGATGTCAAGAGAATGTAATTATCTTGTAAACGTAATTTTTGCTATGTAGGCCTATAGAAAATAAAAAGGGAGAAATAATATTTGGATTCTTATTATTGTGCATGGAATAAATAAATTTGGCCCCATGACTTGAAATGAAGCAATTGAAGCTTATTAAACTTATTTTGTTGATATCATTTATTTATTCGAGAAAAGTATAATACAGACGGAGTATTATAAATAAATTCAACATGGTTTGAGGAAAGAACCCCAAACAAGTTGTTTGGCAAAGTAGTACCATAATAATGACAGCGAGAAAGTGCCCTTCTTACCAGGTCCATTGCTTGTAAAGGCTTGTAATGTTGCTCTTCATTTAGAGAACTTTAACTATAATTATTTGTATTTTCTTACAGAGGAATCTGACGACCCTTGTGCTTACAAGCTGTGTCAATGCGATAGAAAGGTGGCAGTTTGTCTTTCTACACACGAATCCAAGTACAATATGAAGTACAAGAACTACGATCGGAATACTAAATGCGAGAAGAAAAAATGGATGCAGGCAGACTTCTGTCAAATACCATAACATCTTCGGGCAATGTTACTGTCCAAACTGAATTCCAATAATACCAACATCATGATCAGCTCGACTTCATTAACCTCCATTGTTGTTAATAATAATAATATTTAGCTTTTATATAGCGCTTAAAGGTAAAGACCAGTAATGGTCATGCGATTGCATTGTGAAAGAAACGTTGTGGAATCGATCAGAACAGGTCGATCATCTAGCATCTAGCATCTGCAAGGTTCTGGAATCATCAAAATGATAAGAAATTTGGCTCATTCTTCGTAAAGTTACAAGCACTATACACAGAAAGATGTATATGGGACTACCCTATCTCTCTCACCAGACCATGAGAGAAATAAATTTACCAAATATATGAATTAGTAGGCGGTTTCCCGGCAAATTTTTTATCATCATGTATTAGTCAAAACATATTCTTTCACATGATTGGTAATGAGAGCTTCCATTTCATTTTTTGAAATTGGGGCGTTGCCAATACTGGTCTTTACCTTTAATACAATGTCTCTAAGTGCTTTACAAATATACTATTACCCTGGTCATTGGATTCAGTGCTTGCCCACACACACTGTGGGCACAATCTCCACTCCATGGGGAGCATCCCAGCCAGACGTTTACTTGACGCTCAAAACTGTTTGACCAACAATGACGGTCGCATCCTACCGGGTACCTGGGTGGAGAGTAGCAAGTGCAGGTTAGTTACTAAAGGATATTAGTGCCGTGTCGGGATTAGAACCCTCGATCTTCGCATCTCCAGTCAAGCGCCTTAAACCATTCGACCACGGCAATCCCATGTTATGTGTTTAATTACGTTAACCCCTTCTATCTACCAATACAGCGCGTCGCATACTCGTATTGCATGGCTAATGACTCATTATTTACATCATTCTTTAAAAAGAACCGGCTAGCTTAGCTGGAACATCACCAATTTTATGAAAATATATTATCTGTCATTTGCATAACTCAATATTACTTGGCGCAATCGTGGGTAACTGCCTTCATGCCTTCATGTATCGCGCGAATTGAATAAATTATCAAATGATAAGGCCATGGGAAACGACTTGCTTCCAATAAAACTGATTAAACTAGGAGCTCATGTTTTTAATGCAACCAGTAACGCATATAGCAAATAATTTTATTACTACTTTTATACTTCAGGGATTGTTCCCATAATAATATATTGTCTTATAAGGGAATATCAATCATGTTTTAGGTCCCTACACTCTACAACCACAGCCTTATTGAATGTCACAGATGATTAGCTCACGGGTATAATTCCCATTTTTTTCTCTGTTTATTACAGTAATTTCCAGTTTTATTTCATCATTTGATCACAGTTGATTATATTTGATATACTGTTTGTTTGGTTGTTTGGTTATACAAAAAGTCTTTTAATCTTATTCATTAAAGTAATATATATATTATATAGCGTAAACTTTAAACGTAATATATCTTTCATATTTCCTTACCTATATTTGTACAGTGTATGTATATCTTAGCATTTATTATAATTTGTTGTTGCATGTATTGTACGGCTCCATTGTAAACCAGCCAAGTAGCTGAACTGGGCTTTTATCGTGCTTAAATAAATGAATCAAATAAAATCAAATCACATGTGTCCCTTTTCATGGTACTCTTTTTGGCATCTCATTCCATATGTATTTCTTTGTTTTTGTTATCCTTCTTTAATCTTCTCTTTGTTATCTTTGATATTCTTTCTTTTATCCTTCTATCACTTTCTCTTTGATATTTCCTAATGTTATTCTTTGTTTTATCCTTTCATTTTTTAAAATTCATCACCTTTAATAGAAAATGGAAAAAGGTATACCTAAACAAAAAATGAATATTACAAGGAATTCAGGAGGCCGAGACAGCCCACCCCCCTCTCCCCATGAGAGATCCAAAAGGAATGGAGAGAGAGAGAGAGAGAGACATAGAGAGAGTGAGAGAGAGAGAGACAGAGAGAGAGACAGACAGAGACAGAGAGAAAGAGAGAGAGAGAGAGACAAAGAGAAAGAGAGCGAGACAGAGAGAGAGAGAGAGAGAGACAGACAGACAGAGATAGACACATAAAGGGAAAAATGGTAGAAGACAGCAAACTTGAAGACAATAGAACAATATCAAGGATAAGTGAAAAAGAAAAGGGAAGGAAGGAAGAGAGGAAAATTAGAAAGAGAGGATAAGATTGAAATCGGTGATAGAGAGTGAAAGATAGAAGGGACTATCATGATTGATTAGTAAGGGGATAAGTGGAGGTCATTTATTTATTTGTTCGTTTGTTTGCTTGTCGCTTTTTATATGGTATTTGGTACTGGCTCCCCCTCCGCCCTTTTTTTCTTTTATTCATGAGATTAACCGTCCCCTCTTTTCGGGTTCTTTGCAACCAATTCGGAAGCAAAAAACGACATAAGAACATGGTGGCTACCACTAAAAGCTACGTCTGTTGGCCGCCAATTTTAATCAGGATGGATCATTGATCCGTTTAGTTCTACCCGTCGCATCTAACTTGAATTCAAATTTGCAAAGAAAAAAAAATGCATGTCCTGTCTAGCAGTTGGGCCATTTTAGAAAACTTGCCGGCGGGCTTGTAAACATTATGTTAAATTATATACCTCATACACAAATTGTCATTCACTGATTGGTCAAAACTATATCACATGTCAAGGAGCATTTCGATCTATCAAGTAGGGTTTGATAGCTACTATCAAACCCTGGGATAGGACCCCTTACCCCTCCCGCGACCTAGTTGCGCACACAAATTTTTGGAGTTGCTAGGCTACCGCAATCGCGCGGTTACGCGCAGCGCGTAGGAATTCAATACTCTTGCCTTGGACTTGATGTTGGATTTTTCTTTTTTTTTTTTTCTTTTTTTTTTTTTCTGTTTTTATTGTTATTTTTGAAAAATTAACAGAGTAAAAGCAGCAATATAAAATATAATATCATCTTAAAACTACAAAACAGGCACGCACTCATGCACCCATAAACATACACACACACACACACACACACACACTCACATACTTTCCCAGAGGGCAAGTTTACATTTCAAAAAGTCAATGAAGATGCTAATGACAACAGAGCTTTGCAAGACTACTCCTAAATTTCAGTTAAACTTGATAGACCATTTCTTAAAATGGACTTGTAACTTATTTTTCTTTTGGGCAATTTTATATTCTATTTTTTGTTTGAACTTTACCATTGAAACAAATGCTTCGAAAATAAGTTCTTTTCCCTGAAACCTACATGAGTAAATATAATATTTTAAACATAAACAGAGAAAATTTATACAAGAGGCGTATTTGTCCCTTGACTGTATCCCAAACAAAAAATTAAATTTTGACAAAGTCAGATTATAACTGTGATCAGTGCCAGTGTTAATCTTATCCACCAATTTTTCCCACAGTGGTACAACTCTCCTACAGTCACAAAACAAGTGATCTAAAGTTTCTGGAAAATCTGAACAAAAATAACAATTAGCAGACTCCTTTCTCCCAATCTTGAACAAAAATGCATTAAAACCAATAGCATTATGGAAAATTTTGAAATAAAAACTCCTTAACTGAGTCTCAATCGTGCAACAAAAGTTACTCGTATGAATAATCGACCAATCCTTCTCTTTGGGTTGATGGCCAAATAGTTCCTCCCATTTACTCTCCCTTTTGGCATTAGTACAACTATATTTCTTCAGCAAAATATTATATGTATACTTAGACATTTTCTTTTGACTTAATAGATCTTTAAAAATTTGATTAAATATATTCTCATCCACATTAAGAGAATTATCAAACCACTCCAAAAATATGCCATTCATGAGGGAGTCATATTTTTTTTGGTCTCTAATAGGAATGTCAAACTCAATTACGAGGTCTTCAAATGTTTTGGGATTACCAAAACCATTATGTAATTGAAAAATGGAATGAATACCCCTTTCATACCAAACTGGATAGAAAAAATGTGTTCTATATTGCAATCTTACATTTCTATTCCACCAAATAAAATCTTGTAAATGAAACTGACATAAACCTAGTTCTCTTTTCATCTCTTGCCTATATAAATACCATGTCTTAATAGACGCTGTTAACTGGCAATTTTTAAGTTTTGCCAAAACCGAATCAGGGGCATCTGCCTTAAAAAGGGCAAGATGGTCATCACAAAAGGTAGAAAGAATATATATTTCTATTGTTTTCCAACAACTTTCATATTTATCGTCTAATAGTTTAGCCATCCACAAAACTTTCTGCGCTTGTGCAAAAACTAAAGGATTAATCATCCTTAGACCCCCTTCTTCATAATCATTGCATAATATATCTCTCTTAACTCTGTCATTGCCATTGCTCCAAATGAATTTAAAAAGCAAACCATTTAATCTTTTAAAGAAAGAGTTTGGCAGGTCAATACATAATACTGAAAACAAAAATAACATTTGGGGGAGTAAAAGCGACTTTACAACAGCAATTTTGCCCAACAAGGATAGGCTTCTATGCCGCCAACAATTTAAAATCTGTTCTATAATGACAAGTCTGGGAACAAAATTCAGTTCGTAAAGCATTTTTGTGTTCAATGAGAAAACCACTCCTAAAGCCTTAAACGTTTTTGATTTCCAATTCAACCCTAATGCATCTTGTGGAATAACTGTACTGCCTTTCAGCTTTCCTATATGAATTGCATCTGACTTACTTAAATTAATGCGACAACCTGAAAATTTTGCAAACTGAGTCAACGTTTCAAATAAATGTTTAAAGGAATCTGTTTCCCCATTCAAAAAACAAGTTGTGTCATCTGCAAAAAGACTTATCTTCTGTTCAAAGTTGCCAACTGAAATTCCCTTTATCCCCGGATTGTGTCGTACTGAAATAGCCAGAATTTCAATAGCTAATATAAATAAAAGAGGGGATATTGGGCACCCCTGGAATATTCCTCTTTTAATTGCAACCGGATTGGACATAAAACCATTGTTTAACACACAACTAGTTCTATCATTGTAAAAAGTCCTTATCCATCTTATAAAATTGTCTCCAAAATTAAAATAGTCCAAGACTGAAAATAAATAATCATGTTCTATTCTATCAAACGCTTTCTCAAAATCTAACAAAATAATTGTAGCTGGCTCATTCATATAG